GTTTGGTACAAGATATGCGACTATAAATTTAACAATGAACACCAAATGCTATTCCAATAAAACATATGTAAAAATGAATTTGGAACAAGCTCAGAAAGAAAAAAAAACAAGATTTTTTTATGAATTCCATACCTCAAATACAAGAATAAATCCAAGCCTAGCTATTAACAACAAGTTATCATTATCACCTGTGTACTTTTGAAATTGTGTCTGCACCCAGTTTGAATAAAACGCTATCATTACAGCATTCGTTAATACACCAAGTGATGATAGGACATGTAAAACGTTTTCCCACATCCCGATATCTTGGGTTTGAAAAGCCACCGGTCTCTGTAATGTTTTTATATACTGGGGCAAGAGAAGACATTCACAAAGTTGAAGTGGAATAGAAAACAGAAGGGGGTACTGTGTCGTTATTTACCTTAAAAGCATCGGTTCTAATTTCAACTACATTGTTGATCCATGAGAAGAATGCCGCAAGTGGAAAAGCGGGTCCAAACAGTGCGATGTATCCGAATTGAACAACTAGAGAGACAAAGTAAAGATTGAACCATAAGTTTTTGTCAAAACAATAAATACAAATAGCATGTATTTCATGCTATTAATACTCACTCATGTCTCCATACTCGGACATCCCGATCATAGGAGCCTCAGCTAAGCAACCATCACTAACCCATTGAGGTATAGTTTTTTCGTAATTTTTGTATTTATCAATCAAACTTTCGAGTTCCAATTTCAAACGTTGTTTGTTAAATTTGATTTTTGTCCATCTAATTAGACAAACCATTCGGGATGATATCAGAAGTCGCCTAGCGAAGGTTTAGTATAACATATCACTTACGGTACGAATAGATCTTTAAACTGTCTAAATGCTTGCTTTCCGATTAACAGGATGGCTAATTGAATCGTAAGTTCTATCAAGCAATTATCATATTCACAGCCTGCGTGAGCATCTTTGACAATTCTTTTTATGTACTATTAATGAAAGGAAGGTATTTTAATATTGAATATTTCAGCACGAAGAAATTAATTGTAGAATGCTAACTTGTTGTTTTATCAGCATAATGTAAAATAAAGAAGAGTATGAACTAAAGAAATCAAACAAGAATGATTTGAAAATGAAGGAATCTGAAATGATAAAAATTATTAGATCAAGATATTGGAAATTCAAATCTCTAGGAAATTAACAATATTAAACCTTCGAAATTGGTATCAGTTTTATGATTTTCCTTCTTAGTTAAAAATAGAGCCAGATTCTTGGATAACTGAAGATGAGGTAGAAACAAAGTTAAATATGGAATTTTTGGAAGCCCAGAGCGCATATTGTAACTTAACTTACATATCTAATTATCAACATGACAATCAAACTCACTGTAGCAGTGACAAGTGACGTATATATTCCGACGTTCTTAATCCACATCTTAGGAAACACTATGACCACACCTATTGTGAAGATCACGATACATAACTTTTTGATATTTATCTTCTGTAAGTACTTATCAATTTCAGGAATCTATGGGTAAATTATAATTAATGAGCTTACAGATATAGTTACTATTGTTCCACTGATCAAGAATTTCCTCAGTCTCTTCTCAGGTGGAAAATAAAATTCCCACGTCAGTGTGATTGGTGAAATCCTACGATCTTTAACAATAAATAAATCTGTAAATAAGCGATCGAAACATTAGCGAATAATATTGGACAAAACTAACCGGTTCCGTAAAAATCTGGTCTTGGTAATTCCTATTTGTAAATTTCCATAGTATTTTCTAGGGCATTAGGAAGTAACCAAACATATTATTATGAATCATGAAGTAATGATATTTACCTCTTTTTTCGAATTCCATCATGTCCCAATCATGTTGAATAGAAGTGTTCATTCTTTTCCAT